AAGTGGTATCTTACTGACATTTTTGTCGATTCTTCAATTAACTCTATTTAGTCGACAATGGCCCTCGAAAAATCGAAATTTGGGCACTACAAGCTCTATCAATCAAATTTTGATATCTGTTACTCCTGCAGACGGAAAAAAATAAAAACTAATTTCCCATGTTAATTTTCTATATCCAAGCCTGCCTGGGACACCCGGTTTATATGTATATGTATGTATAAGATAGTAAAAAATACACGATGAATATAAAGTATGGAACCAAACAATTTTTTTTAGAAAATAATAATAATTAATATAAATTAAAGTAATATAAAAAATGTGATCCTATTTTGAGAACGAAATTTTGTTTTGTTTTTGAGTTATGCGATTTTTATTTGTCAAAATTGCAATTTATGTAAAAAAAAAGTTTTGAAAAAATTAAATATAAAGTTTATAGTTGTAATGCTTACATCGTGACCTTCATGAGAAAAATGTTGTTTTAGTGGGTTGCCATTTAAAAAAATTAAACATTTTGGAGAACTCAAAAACAAAAGAAAATTTTGAAAAATTTTATTCTTGATAAAACATTGCATTTTTATAGTATTTTACCATTCATCAATTAAATTTTCCAAAAAATAAATTGTTTAAGCATAAAACGTTTGGTTCCATACTTTTTATTCACCTAGTATGCGATTTATTTATGGATCAAACCTTTTATAACATATAGAATAATTCATAATAAAACAAACTTATTAGAATTTTACAATTATGTGCCCTAAGTTATATGTACATACAACACATTTACATAAACCTATCTATTATCCACTTCCTCAGCCAAAAGTGAATCGAATTGGACCTCGACTTTCAAAAGTCCTGGATTTACCATGGAGTATCTAGAAATATTATCTCGCAATTATGTAACGAAACTACAAACTAGGGTAATAAAAAAATCTCACACTTGCCTTAAACCCCTTTTTGTAAGCCTACCACATACAGCAGGCTTAACTTTCGGAATACCATTGGCACTATGCTTTCCTTGACCCGTTATCACCATTAAAGATTTTACATCTAAAGGTTCATTTTCTAATTGTTCAATATTCTTATCTAGAAATTCATCTAGAACTCGAATAGCATCGTAAACTGAAAAGCCATGAAGATCAATGCAGCTTTGATTTGAAATTTGTTTGAAACACTTTTCAAAAAGAATCTTAAACACCATTTTACTTGCTTCTTCATATTGTTTAAAATGTTTATGAGCTTGAGCAAAGTTTTGTTTGGCCAATTCTTTGTTTTGCAATTTCACATATTTATGTGCTTCATGCAAGAATTTTTTTCTTTCTTTGAGATGTATTTTGGCTTTTTGACGATAGGTAGCAATAGAAGATGTTTCAGCTCCATCAACTTCACAATAGTCCATTTCTCCCCTTAATTCAATCAAATAAGTTTCATCATCGTCAATGTACTGAAACCACATTTTCTTCTTTTATAAATCGATCAAAATCGTATATTACCTCAGAAGAATAGTCAAAATCACCTCCCAGTTCTTGTAAGATTTTTCTAAATTCTTCTTGTTCTTTTACCATTTCATTTAGCAACTCATCTTGTGCTTCTTTTTCTCGAAGAATTGCTTCAATGCAAGCTGCATATAATTGTTTACCAATTGAAACAGGAATTTCCACAACTGTTACAAATCCAGAAGGGATAATGAAATTGGAATCCAAAAACATCTCAGAGAGTTGAGTGATCATTTCTTCTCCTATTTTTATTTTAAAAAATCCTTCATTGCGTATGGTTGCTAATTGCTGATTTCCTTTTCCAAAAATTTGTTTAAAACTATTTATTATGTAATCGAAAAAGCGGCGAATGTAACTCTTTTGTCTGTAATCACTCTTTACTTCACCAAACATCGCCAGTCCTTTTTCTGAGGCGTCACACATTTCTACACTTTTCAAGTAAAGAAAAGAAGACTTTTCAATCACACTCCAAAAGGCACTAAATAAACAATGAACAAAAAAGTCGAACAAAGGTCTTATTTTTTCCAACACATACAATACGATAAGATAATTATGATAAAATCGATAAGTTTTTTTATATATTGTATTGTTTCTAACAATGCACTTTTAGTGTAAGCAACAAAAACATTGACAATTTATTATAAAAAAATTATAATCTTAACGGTGGAGCTCTAGGTGCATTGTTGCCTAAATCAGAATTTTTGGAAATCACAACTCTTAAATATCCAGCATTGATCTCATTATACCTGAAAACATGCTTTGTTAACTGATGCTACACTTTTATCTCTGTTATCTTGATAATTTCTCAAGTAGATATAACCTGTGTTTCCCCGACACACGCAAAAACTTACTTCAAATTTCTTTCCTCAAGTCGTGCAATGACTGCAGGCTTGATTTTAGGAATTCCATTAGTACTATGCTTTCCACGTCCTGTTATTACTCTTAGTGAGCTTCTCTTTAAAGAGTCGTTCCTCAAAAACAATATTTCGTCATCCAGAAATCTGTCTAACGCTTCGAGAGCTTCTTTCACATAAAGGTGATGAAGATCGATGGTACCTCTTGAAGGATGATTTTCGTAGTTTTTTTTCAATACCATAGCAGCAGCATGATTATTGGCCTTGTCAGCAAGTTTTGCTTGCTGTTTGGCTCTTTTAAAGTATTGGTCAGCAAGAGTAAGCTGCCCGTTTCTTTTACACTGATGCGCAATTTGATATAATTGCCGCTTTTTATTCAAGTGTTTCAGAGCCTTTCTGCGATAAAATTCTGCCGGTTTTTCCTTAAAAATAAATCAGTAGTTTGATGAAACACCTAAATATTACAAATACCGGAACTTCCTCATGGACAGTTATTGTCTGATGAACTTGTGGAATTTCTTGAAGAACTCTACCTTGCTTGGCTGCTACGGTTTCTGTTTCTGTTGCAGGAACCCATGTTTGTAGTGTTTTTGCCCAGGATTTCAAATTCTCAAGACTATTTTGATCTTGCTGCAGACGGTGTTCTGTTTTTTGTTGTTGAACCACTGATTGTTTT